GTGTTCCAAGATTGGAACAGTAACAAGGGGGACACTTTTGAAGCTAAAGACACAGTGAATCACGGGGATTTAGGAAGTTTTTCTTCAGCCCAGAGTAGTCGTAAGGGGAAATAGTTTGGGAAGCGAGTAGGGAGGCAGGACCATTAGCTTAAGCAGAGGTACGAAAAAGCTCACGGCTCGGGGAGGGGACTAGTAGCGAAAATTGAAGAGGGGGGGGCCAGGGCTCGGATCGACCCCGCAACCTCAACTAGGTGAGTCAACTAGGTGAGTCCCACACACACACACCACACAACAAACCACACACACACACACAACACACAAAACCCCCACACACCCACAGTATGAGACCTTTTTGGAACCCCCCTGATAAAGCACGTCAAGAAACTAGAAAAAGTAAAAAGGTTTGGAAAAGGTTAGTTCCAGAGCTAAGGGGGGAATGCCTATGAAAAAATTTTAAGGGGGAAATGGGCCCTGACGACAGGGGACAGGAGGGTCGGGGGAGAAGGGTAACGAATATAAAATACTCGTGGAATAACAGGGGGGAAAAAGACGGGATGTTCCAGGGGAGGGGACACAGAAAACAAGGGGCCCCAAAATTGGGAAAGTTAAGACACAAATGGTAGAGAGATAGTAGGAAGTATTTTTTCAGCCCTAGAGTTGAAAGGCAGGGGAATACCCTAGAAAATGAGTAGTGGAGGCAGGAACCATACCTTTTTAAGACGAGGTTTTTAAAAGCTCATGGGCGGGGAGAGGGGGGCCCTGAACCGGTGAAGAGGGGGGGCCCAGGAGTAGGACTCGCCCTGCAACCAAAATAGTAGTACAAATAGGTGATGAGTACAACACAAACACACACACACACACAAACACCACACACAAAAAAACCACCACAACCCCCACAACCACACAAAAACACCACACACCAACACACACACAACACCCACACATACACACACACAACACACACACATACGCCCAACACCACACAAACCCAACAAACCACAACACCCCCACGCACACACGCACACACCCCACACACATCACACACACACACCACACACACCCCACACACCAACACACAACACACACACCACACACACTATAGAACGGGCTGTTTTTAAATGCAGGGCCCTGGGACAAAATGGTAACAAACACACCAAACACATACAAAACCACCCACAAAACCCACAAAGAAAGGGAAATTTGGGCCCTGACGACACGGGAGGAAGGAGGGTTAGGGAGACATGAAAAAACCTAAAAAATATTGTGGGAATTGAAAAAGGTGGGAAGAGACAGGATGTCCGAGAGGGGACACAGAAACAGGTGTCACATTGGAAGTTGAAAATTTTTTGATTGTCGAAGAGATATTAGGAAATATCCTTAGTCATAGGTTTTTCAGGAAATGCAATAGTTTGGCAAGGCGTAGTGGGGGCAGGAGCATAATATTTAAAACAAAGGGATGATAAAAAATGGAGCAGGGAGAGAGGGACCTAGTAGCGATCATGAAAAGGCGGGGCCAGGAGTATGTCTCTCCTAATTAATCTGAGAGCTGCATTAACCACCTTTTTCGGGAAATTTAGAGCAACAGTATTATACAAAAGTTCCCGGATAAATTTTCTGCAGTTACAGTATTTAAAACTACCGGCAACCACAAAAGGAGAGTACAACACACAACACAACAATGGCACACTGATATACTGCGAAAAGAGGGTTATTTCCCAGGAACAAAAAAATCGGCTATGACATGGGGCTTTGTTACGTGTCCCGACACGGGGCTTTTTCACAGGGTTTCCCGACCGGGTCTTTGTGAAGGTCTCTTGCAGAGTCTTCGAATGTGTCGTAAATGGGGTTAAAACCCACCCGGATTATCCCATCAAGTTTTACGGGCACTTTTTTAAAAGATACAATATTACAAATAAAAGCACACAAGTTTTTATTGGGTTTCTCTCTATTTTGAATTTAACTTTTTGTTCCCCCTTAACATTTTAAAAAAAATTTAAAAAAAAAGGGGAATGAAATTTTTTCGTTCAAACTCAACGGGAAAATTTTTGGGGATTTTCTATTCAGATGTTTTTAAAATTTTAAAGAAAAAACCCATAATTTTAAAATTTTAAAAAATTCAGAAAAAAAAACAAATAAAAGTTTATTTACAGTGTTATTCTTTAACATGATGGTTAAATTTTTGTATTCTTATCCTTTTTAGTCCGATTATAGATGAGGGGAAATTTTTAAGATTTTTGGAATAACGAAGATCTAAAATACCCCAAAAAAATTTAAATTTAAAAAAATCATTTAAACTGCCAGAAAATACTTTTTCAATTCAAAAAGAAAAAAAGTCGGTTTACCTTTCCCCTAAAAAAATTCTTGATATTTTTTCTACTTAAGAATTTTAAAATTAAAGAGGCTTTAAAAAACTTATAGAGTAAAAAAAAACATTAATAATAAACCTCCAAAAAACTGATGTCTGTGTCTATAAGATTTTATGTAAAAAAGAAATAAAGTTTTTTACGGGCAAAGAAAAAAAACTTAACTAAGATTACAATAAAAAAAACATAAAAATAACATTAGAACTGGAAAAGGGCTGATGCTCTGTTTATTCTGTGAGAGATTTTTAACCCTCCTTTAAATTTTTAAAAGGCTGGGATGGGTTGCAAAAAATTACGAATCTAGTTTGTAAAAAAATAGTACTAATTTTTAATATGAATATTAGTTAGGGCTGTTAATTAGATTCGTTTGTAAAATTTAAAAGAGTTTGCAAGGATTTAAACTAGCCTGCATGTCAGTCATATGTTTACTTGAAATGTGATCTGAAAAAATATTTACTGCATTCCTCGTCGCATGTAGGGTCAAGTATGAAGCAAATATGATGATAACCCCAAACCTTTTAAATTTTTTTTATCTTCCTATTATTTTCACTATTCTTTGATAATGTGAGAAACCACGAAGTGATTGGAATTTCTCAATTTTTTTCATTGTGGCTATTTTGCATATTATGATATCATTTGTTTTACTGTTGATCTTATTGTATATATAATATATATATATAAGTATATATATAATATATTATATATAGTATATTATATATATATGATAATATATATATATATATATATATATATATATATATATATATATATATATATATATATATATATATATATATATTAATATATATATAAATTTTACAGTGATATCACTGACGGAAACACGCACGGAGATAATCAGACAGAGAAAGGTAGCTAGAATAGCACAAGTAGGCATAAATAAATGTACATAGCTAGGAAAAAGCATGTGCAAAACGGGAATGACATATACACATAGCTGTAGACGGGAGGCAATCAGAACTGATTTGACAAGAATGGGAAGATAGCCCCTTTTCAGGCATCAAATCTAGGGAAAGGATAGTATTCTCCCCATCCTTCAAACAGGGAAGAAACTCCAATTCTGCTGGAATGGAACTTTACAACTCCTATAGCTGCAGGAGCCTTTAAATGGAACGCTTGACTATATGTTCTCTGTACCTACTGAAGACGCTTGACCATATGTTCTCTGTACCTACTGAAGACGCTTGACCATATGTTTCTCTGTACCTACTGAAGACGCTAACCATATGTTCTCTGTACCTACTGAAGACGCTTGACCAGATGTTCTCTGTACCTACAGAAGACCTTTGACCATGTGTTCTGCACTCACTGAAGTCTTCCAACTCAGACTGACACCTATCAAAAATGTACATTGTCACGTGAACACATCCTGTATGACAATAAATTACTCTGTCAGACACTGCAACACAATGGTATCTTGGTAAGGAACAAAAAACACCTTGGACAACTTCTGCAAGTGAGAATGGATGGATTTGAGAGGGACGTGACCTCTCGATATTGCATTTTTCTTCTACTAGTGGCCTACATCTCACCTCCTGACAGTATAACAAGCGCCTCCATGCTGTTGCTTCAACTTCACATTGTTTCAGACTATGGAACAAATACTCTTCTCCAGGCTGAGAGACTGACCACCTCAAAACTAAGCCTTCAACGGTGATGGACTGATTACATCGTCTCTTCACAACTCTTCCTGCTTCTACCACTTTTCTGTACTCGACTGAAGAAATCTACTTGTGTAGGCGAAGCCTTTCGAAATAAAGATACCTAACTGCTGCATGTGTGTCTTGCCTAGCAACTTGTCGTATTTTAACCAACTTTAATATTCACGTGATAGGAGGAGAGAGGGATGAGAACATCCCTGGTCCATGGAGGCGCTGCAGCTAGTCATGCTTTTTTTTGTTTACGAGTTACTGCTGACTTCTACATTCTGTGTTGCTTCATCTGTGTCCCACACCTGCCTCCACCACTGTTGCCCTCTTGCGTCCACCACTATTTTTGTCTCTTGCCTCCACCACTGTCTTTGTCCTCTTGCCTCCACCACTGTCTTGTCTCTTGCTTCCACACTGGTCTTGTCTCTTGCCTCCAACACGTCCTTGTCTCTTGACTCCACCACTGCCCTTCTCTCTTGCATCCATCACTGTTTTTGTCTTTTTACATCCACCACTGGGTCTTGTGCTCTTGCCTTTTATCCCCAGTCTTTGCCCCACATGCTAGTGAGACCTCTGTTTCACACCTGCCTCCACATCTTACGGGGCTCCTCAGTCTGCCTCTACTTCTATCATTGTTCCCATTCCGCCTCCACTATTTGTCTTGCCCCCACACCACGTTTTCATCGTCCTTCCTTTTTTTTCCCAGAAACATACGTCGGAGGTGGAGGCGACGAAGATACTGGCGGCATTGGAAGGGTGACAGTAGGGGTAGGTGGTGGGAAGTAGTGGGGGACAGTGGAAGGGGTATAGCATTGTAGGGTGGTGGCGGCGATGGAAAGGTTATTGGCGGTGGCAGAAAATATATGAAAGTGACAAAAGCAGAGGATGTTGAAGACAGAAGAGGAATTTTTAGGTAACACTGAGTAGGATACTCGTCAGCACATGATCTGACCACCTCCGTCTTCTCGGCATGTGGGTTGTTGTCAGGGCTTACGGTGGGCACAACACTCAGTCTCTCATTCAGTTCCGTCGCTTGCTCCAGCAGCAATATGACCTCCTTTCCTGAGAGCTTAAAGGAGTCCTGAGGGACCCATCAACTGCACCTGCAAAACCCCGACGATACGCAACCCTCAGTAACTGTAAAGCCTCCCTGAACACCCCTAGACTTCACCTCGGTAAGGCAGTCTAGCAACCACACCCAGCATCGAAGAGCCAGGAAAACAGTACAGCAACCTGATTATCATCTCCTGACGGTGCCACACAGAACACACCTCACCTCCGCAGTCTTCTTAGACAAGAGCTCACCGGAGTATCCCGGGAAGCGTCGAAGGCAGGCGGCATCCTCCTCTGTAACCTGAGTGAGACGCTGCAGAAGTAAACGCCGATAACATGGTAAAACCCTACACTTTCATAGATGATACCACCTGTTGGAAAGGTAAGTTGAGCTAGCTTGCTAGGTCTAATTTTTGTTGTCATAGCTCATGAAACGCTAAACCAGTGTTGGTTTTCCAACGAAGGGAGTGGTGAAGGCTCGATCCTTCGTTCCCTTAATGTGGTCCGGCGTCTGATTAGTGTGGATTCATGTGGGCCATCGGAGGTGCTGTTCACCTATTCATAGTGTGCATACCCCGCTAAACCTTAATTAAACCCGTGTCCATCCTTCAGCGCAAGGAGTGACGGAGGCTCGATCCTCCGCCCTCTTAACACAAAGACAGACACTCTAACTTCGCAGCCACACTCAGACATATATCTACTGCAGGGGAGTATAATTATAGTCCTTTTTTTATGTGTATACTGGTGAGACTTGTCACTACATGCATGTCCTAATAAAATGTTATATTGACTATTAGGTTGTAGTGTATAATGAATATAGTGTATGTGTTGTGAATTATTACAGGAACAATTGGATACAGAGGCACACTGCACAGGGCAATCTTTAATTGTGGCCTTTCACTGCCTGTAGAGCTTCATTGGATAAAAGACTTGATGAAGTTCTACACAGAGGGAAACGTTGTCACAGTAAAAGTTCCTTCTCTACTTGTGTTTTTTCTTCGCCACACGTAGAGCTGAAGATTATGATTTATATCTCAGAAGAAATCTTACCAGCGTATATTTCTTGGCCTTAACGCGTCGATAAATATTTAAAATAGCTTAACAATACTACTCCAACATTCATCAGTGTTTTTCTTTTATATTCCTTGCTGCTTCAATTTTGAGGTTCCTAAATCTTCTTTTCATGTTCCTGTCCGCCCATTCACCCACCCTACCTCGCTCCCACCCTCGCGAACACCCACCTGCTCGTACGTCAAACAGCTCCCGTCCTCCCTTTCCCATCCATCTGTCTGCACTCTTTCCCTTCCCACTCTGCAGCCTATCTGACCATCCACCTGACGGCTTGTCCACCAGTCTATACGTCCACCCACCTGCCATTCCACCCGCTCTTCATTTTTACCTACTCATGTGTCCGCCCGCTCATGTATCCGCCCATTCAAGTGTCCGCACACTCACGTGCCCGCACGTTCCCGTCCGCCTTGCAACCCATCTGCCAGATATCTATTTCCACCCAGTTTCACGGAAATTTACAATCGTTCATTACACCCGAGTAAATCACTTCACCTCTAAGGGCACAACAAGAAGATTTATTGCAGGGATTATTGGCGGTGGGGAAGAGAGTAATAAAATACCATATTTTAAGGCGTCAAAGGCGTTATATATATATATATATATATATATATATATATATATATATATATATATATATATATATATAATATATATATATATATATATATATATATATATATATCATCAGTTATCGAGGGGGAGGGGAGGGAGCATAGATAAGGGCCATTAGTTAGCAGGTAATAATTAAATGTCAGTATTTAAAAGGTCATAGCTGAGGCTCAGAAGATAGGAGAGTCCGAGTTAATGGTCAGTTGGGTTACCAGTGTCAAGTCAAGCAATGGTTCAGCAATCAATGCTGCGCTGCTGTCACTGTATTCAGCGTTAAGAAAGGAAGTGCAATGTCAACAGCACTGTCGACACCTCCAACAGCAGGACTAGCCCTAATAGTAGCACTAGTAGTACCATCAACAGTAGTACCAGTAGCACTACACTCAGGAGCCAAAGTAGCACCACTAACAGTAGCAACAGTAGCACCACCAACAGCAGCACCAATAGCACTGCACACAGCAGCCAAAGCAGTACCACCAACAGTAGCAACAGTAGCACCACCAACAGCAGGAATATCACCAGCAGCAGCAGCACCAGAGACAGTATCATCATAGCAGGACTAATTCCAGTAGCACAATTAACACCACCAGCACCCTCCACTCCAAGCATGGGTAGCAGTGCCGGCTAGCAAGTAGCAGTGCCAGCTAGCAGCAGCCTCTATTGCATCATGCCATCAACACAGTAGAGAACAATGCCATATCTGCGTTAGTGCCACTGGCATCATCCATTGGTTTTTG